TTTATGGTGATCTGGCTGATCTTCTGGATGTCCGTACACAGCACACCAATGAATTGTTGACTGCAAATCGCATCCTAGGACTGCATGAACAAGATCGGATCGAAAACCGGATCAAACGAGTGCAAAACGGATGAAGACAAGTTGCAGTCCTGGGACCTTACGGCGACGCGTGCAGGCGCGTGAGTAGTCGGACTGCTGCGATCTTAGCGGCGTTGGAAAGCTCTCGTCGAGACGGTCGTTTGGGTATGCTGCACGTCTTGATCGGACCTCCGGTTAGTTATATACGACCAAATATATTTCATCTCACTTTACCCAAAGATCTTCTACTGTATATCTCAAACACCTCTTAATCTTGTACCAGTGGAACAACAAGAAGAAGATAAAGCTCGAATGGGAACTGAGAGAGAAGAGAGACGTGGGGCGTGATTTCCAAGATGTGAAATTCTCTTCTCTTCCCATGAGCTTAATGATGTATATATAGAGCTACAGTAGGGATCCTTGGGAGATTAGGATTGAGGCTCCTTAATTAATTAAAATATTTGTGGACCAAGCCACTTATTTTAATTAATTAAATAATATTAAATGGGCCACCAACATATTATTATTGCACTCATTTTTCCTAGTCCAATTTACAATTGAGACTTCAATAATAATTACTCGACTTATCTCCTCATGTTTAAGATATAATGTCCATTAATTAATTCGATTGCTGACAATCAAGAATTAATTAATTTATTATTATTTCACCGAAGCTAGCGCTCTTTCATCACATTATTACTATGCCAGAATTTAATCCACCTGCAGGGTTTAGCATAATAATCCTTCATGAACTCACTCCTGGGACATCATCAAACTAACGCACATGGTGACCGTAAATATCCTAACAGCACATCCTACATGTAGCAATATTACCCAAGACAGCGGGTCTATTGGTCCAGTTCACTAAGCTTCACCCATGTGAATCAAAGTAATAAATACTACACATATATGTCTGTTTAATATCTTACGGGTTAAGAGTACGCAGTATTTAACCGAGGCCTAGTTCGTTTACGACGATCAGTATAAAACGAACTGCTCCTCTATGGGATCCTGTTCAATACATAAATGTACTAGTGTAACTAATCAGTCAAGACAAACTGTACAGTTGACACTACAACCGTTCACGATGGGGTGTTCATGTCCATCTGGATTGTGAACCACTTATTCTTGTTTAGCGAGTAACTGATAGCATGATCTTCGGTTGGCCCGATGACGACCCACACTATCTAATGCAAAACAACAGAACGTAGAACTAGTTTAATCTAACATGTTTCTCATTCATAAAGGGTAAAAGTGTAATATCATCCAAAGCCATGCTTTCAGTATATAACACTAACAATCTCGCACTTATACTTAAAGATGATCTCTTGTTGCCCAAGGGAACCTGAATGGACTGTCCAAACCGCTCAACTATGTTAAGCTACATGGCCCTATCCACATGTGGCTCTTAACACCTTAAGTTTCCTTCTTATCCCTTAGTCTTTAATATTAGATTGCCTAATGGTGCGACTAGATCGAGGTGGTTTGAGGTAGAAAGTTGTCTATTTTGAGTTAACGGTTTTCGTTCACGTCGATCACATGGCCAATCGTTCCTATAGGCCGAGTTTTCAACAGGCCATCCGAGGGCCCTAACCCGACCTGCCATTGTCCCTTTTACCCTCTCTCACTTCTTTTGACCTGAAGACTCCTTGTCGATGATCGACCTCCCTGGTGCTCTACTTCGACCACCCGGTTTGTTCAACTTGATTGACCGATTTATTGGTTTTTCTCTTCCGAGTATGATTTCCCATATCAGTAGTTGATCTGGATATGCGATTACAAATATTTTTTATTTATGTTGATTTTTTTTTTCATTTCATTATGACCCCGCGTATTGTTCGCAGTTCTGTGACATCGTTTACTTTTTATCTGAATATGCGATTACAAATATCGTTATTTATATTGATTTGTTTTGTCATTTCGTTATGACCCTGCATATTGTTCGCAGTTTTGTGACGTCGTTTACTTTTTTTTATTATACTCTATTAGCGCACTTGTTTCGCAGTTCTTCAAATTCCTTTCAATTAATTTTTTTTTTCCTTCGAACATTGTCACTAATTTTGCAGGGAAATCTATGTTTTCGGATATTAATGGCTCATTATCCATGCAAAACACTTTTTTAACACATGAATCATCGTTAAACACATATTGACACAAGAAAAAAAAATCGTTACTGCTGCAGTCCCCCGAAGTCCAACAAAATAGGACAACCAACGTATATTAATTTACATGTGGTTTTTCAATTTATTCTGATGGATTCTCATGGTCAAGATCAATGATTTCCACCTGCCTTGGTGGCGGATGGATCTAATCATCACTGTCATCGTCTGTACCATCATCGTTTATGTCTCCGGCCCAGATTCCAAGTCGATCGCTACTCTTGCGATCGGTAAAAATCTCGTAACGCTCGCGATACCAAGGGAATGCGTACCAACGGAAAAATGCCCGAGCGATTGTTTCCTCATGTGTATTTGAAATTTAAACTTTTTAGAGTTATGATCGCATTGCAAAATACATGAACAAACTAAAATAAAAAACTATTTTACCTTGCCCACATACATTAAGTACATGTGATTAACATTAATGATGCCAACATCACCACACACTCGGGCTCCTATAATCAACATAAAACTTGAAAATTCATCGAAATAATTTTGAGCCACTTAATATTTCCGGCACTTGGGCAATAGTTACTCCTTCTTGAAGGTATACCTCAGCGTGCAGTTTAGTGAACAAGCAATTTCTTGTTACAAGAAATTGAACACAGGGCCTCGGTGTATTTTGCCTTCCCACGACACTTCTTGAAAGACACTCGATAGCGAGCATCTTCCTCACCCTCGGTCCGCTCCACGCCAGGGAAGCGAATTGCGACTTGCTAATTGCGTGATATCCTATCCTTTTTTTTGCTAACATGCCTAGTTTTTT